ATTTTTCCCTGGATCGAGATTTCACTCGCGACGCAGTTTTCGATCGAGACCGCGACCGACGGGAGGAGGAGCGCGACCAACTGCGAGATTTACTTCTCACACGTTTGACTTCTGGCGAACTTTCAACATTAACGGGACTCTTCTCTTTTGGTGGGACGGGCTTATCTGTAGCTTTGCTTTCTTGTGGTGGCGATTTGCTTATTTTATCCACTTTCGGGCTGACACTAGTAGTTTCTTCTACTACTGAGCTGGAATTAGGTTGAGATGTGGAAGCATTTGCTTCCTCTGTGGCTTTCCCCAAAGTAGCTTTAGCCATGCGAGCTAGTTTCTCTTTCAGCCAAGTTATTTCTTTGATATCTAATTCCTCCTGTCTATCCCTCGTGTCCAACGACAAGAAATCATCTTCGGAATCATCGTTCTCACTGGACGAACTTCCGATGCACAGAGTCTTCGGCTTGTAATTACCGGCGTCTTTCTTTCTAGGATGTAGATCAGATGGTGATTTGATGTATTTACGCTTGTCTTTTTCTGGTAATTTCTCAATAATGTCCTTATAACGTTCGGGGCTACGTCTCGCCGGAGAGTAGCTGAGGCTCGATGTGCTTCTGCTCCTTTGCTTTGAATGAGATCTCGATTTATAACTGCGATGTTCTCTACGATTACTGTTTTTTTCTTTATCGTTTTTATCTTTAGGAGAAGAAGAACGTCTACCTTGTCGTTTCTTTGATTTGCGACTTGGACTTTCACTTTTGTCCTTTCTGCTTCTTTTTTTGGGTATGGAAGATGATCTTGAGCGGGTTCGTCTATGGTTAGCTTTGTTATCAGGTGTGGCAGATTTTCTAGCAGCTCTATGTTCACGTTTTTCGACATCCTTGACCGATATTTTTGTTTTGTCTTCTTTTTTTCTGAGCGGTGATGACTCCTGCCTTCTAAATGGCGATCTTTTAGGAGAGAGCCTTTGATATTTTGTCGACTTTGGTGAATCATGTCTTCTCGAGACCGATGAATCGCGTTTTCTTGAGGCCGAGGATCCCCGCCTTTTAGGAGATGAAGAGTCAGCCCTTCTCGGAGACAAATCTCGTCTTTTTGGCATTAAGTCACGGTTTCTTGATGGTGACAAATCACGTTTTCTTGGCGGTGATTTATCACGTTTGGGAGGAGAAATGTTACGTTTTCTTGGTGACAGCTCTCGTTTCTTAGGTGGCGTAGAACTTCGTCGCCTGGGCGCTGGTGAGTCTCGTCTCGTTGGTGGCGAAGATTCACGTTTCTTTGAGTAAGCTTCTCGATGTTTAGGTGGCGAGGCACGGCGCGAGGGCGACGGAGAACTTCGTCTCTTAGCCAAAGGTGATTCACGCCGTTTACGAGCTGGAGATGGACTCTTTCTATTACGTTCTTTTGTCGGTGGAGACACACTTCTGTCTTTATTATATCGGCTCTTGCTTTTTGTTTCTTTCTCACGTCTTTCATTGCGAGGCGCTTCTGCTTCAGACCCTGGTGAGACTGATCGGTCAGGATTTGTCATTTTGTAATATCGTTCCGGTTCTTTGTATGTTGACTTGTTTCTATTATCTTTGGATTGATATTCAATAGATGAATCTCGATGTCCTCTTGCGCTGGATCTACTTATTTTATTTCTCGGTTCATCGTCATAACTGTCTCTACGATCGGGTCTTTGTCGATCGTTGTATTTTTTATTGTCATGCCTTTCATCTTTCTCTTTTCTAAAATTGTTATCTCGTCCTCTATCGTTTCTATATTCGTACGAGCGGCTTCTGCGGCGAGTTCTTCGGTCTTCACGATAAGAACCTTCTCTTCTATTCCTATCCATATCTCTGTCTCCATCATTATAAGAATCATTTCTACAACGTTCGATAGAAACACTCCTTTTCCTCTTCACAGGGGGAGCAGAGCCAGTCGTTTCACGATCATCTCGTCTTTTGTCTGCCTTGTGTTCTTTATTTCTTGGTGGTGGTTCTTCTTCAGAAGCAGATACAGATCGTCCCCGTTGACGTTTGCCAGACTTCGACTTTTCATTATTGTCTTCTATAGGTTCACGGGTTTTGTTAACAATTTTGGTGACATAGGATCTTTGTCTGTACTCTGGTGATTCTCTTCTGTCATCTTTTGATAAACTGCGATCTTCACGTCGTTTTCGGTCAGATCTAGAGTTGTGGTCGTCACGTCGCTCACTAACGCTTCTATTACGTTGCCGCACATCATCGCGTTCATTCTCTTTTCTCTTGCTTCGTACATCCGGTACAGGTTCGAATCCGCGTTCAGGTCTTTTATCTTTCGTCGTTTTTATTGGAGAACTGCAAAGTTTTTTAATCTTGTTAATATTACTAATGCTATGACTAAGATTGCATAAAAAGTACGTTTTAGGTTAAATATGTTGCAAGTACATAATATTTATCCTACCTCTCGCGGCTAGATGCCTCACTGCTTGCACGGTGTCTGGCACTCGACTTTTTCTGTTAAAATGTATGTTTATATTAATACTACAATTAATAGAGTTTAATACGAACACCAGTGCCAAGAAAGAAACTAAGTGTTTACGCCACTTTTAATATATCTTTACTAGAACCGATGAAATCCTTCAGCCAATTGAAATCTTAAAGAACGGCGTGAAGAATTTCAACTAAAGAAAATAAAATGACACTTTTGCACATGCATGTCTATATTTGTAAACATTGAAACAAATTAGAGGCAATTAAATTAATGAATCACAATAAATAATAATTAGAAGCTACTCACAAAAGCGTTTAATATAAAAATCACAATGATGAAATGTTATTTGTGCTCATTTATACGGATGTTGCACTCGTCATCCATAACATTCTCAACGATTTGAGAAATTACAATGCATTGGCACCAGTGCTTTTCAATTACTATACTAAATTTAATTACACAATAACGTTAAGACTGTTCGAATGTTATAAAATACATATATACAAGTATTACACAAAATCAAATGTAAAAACACTTCTGGGACGTACCTTATACAACAAACGGTGGTGGTATTTTCTACCATTTAAACATGTGGAGCATCCTTAACAAGTTTTGAGTAAACGAGAAGAGGGAGAATGTTATGGATTAGTTACATTTTGATTAAACATTCTTGATACTAACACTAAACTTAAATTGGAAAAATATGCCGATATCTTGCTCGAAGGACCATCACAAACAAAAACATAATATTCACACAAAAAATAGTAATTGTAGCTAAGCATCGCATAACGAGCACATTTTTCCAAGAAATAAAGGTAACGCGTCTTAATAATAATGCAAAACCACCATCTTTTGTAAGGACTACTAAACACCATGCAAGTAAATAACTGGTCTCACGTAAGAACCTGACAATAGCCCATTGAATGCGTTGCTATGCACGATCTCAGTTAGTCGCGAGTTAAACTTCAATGATGCAACGTCAAAAGTTTAACACTGACATTTTAGTATTCACCTAACATAGTGTTTATACTGAGTGTGATTGTTTTATGACATACTTACAGTATACTTTATTTCTTCAGATAAAGATGGCTATCCTATGAAATGATGCACAGTTAAACAGATCATTTTTACTGGCTATTTCTTGTATTTACAGATATAAAATAAAAGAAATAAAACAAAAGGTAGTAACAAATTTTCAACAATGAGACATTGGACAACCCCACATAGAAGTCATTTACGGGTAAGTTATAGCAAAAAAAGTAGACCAAATCAATTTTATTTCACTATCAAGCGATGAATCTAAGGAAAATATGATTGAATTGTAAGTCTGTTTTTATCTTAATATGTAGTCAAACCCATAATCGTATTGTAGACATTGGGAGGTGCTGAGAAGTAAATCTTGTATCAGGCCAATGTGTTTTGTATGTAACAGAAAAAAGCGGGTGCTATACCGGCTAAAATGACTATCCCCTCTAAACTATTGAAGACTCACAGAGAAAAAAATAAAGGAGTACAAAGTGTTAGTGTTCAAAATAATAATCCCATTTTTATTTAATTAAATGTGTAAAGGCCCGTTTATTCTGAAATATTTTGCATGAAAACCACAAAATTCATGTATGAACATTTGAGAAAAGATCATATTATAACTTATATTATTGAGTCAAATTCGTAATTAGGGAAAAGAATTGCAAAATGTTTAAATATGATCTTTGGTTTGTCAAATAATTATTTAGAACTACGTCATCGTGATGTTAACAATGGACAATAATATAATAAAATGGTTTTAAATACCTTTTTCTTCCGTTTCTGCTTTTCATCATCAGAGCTGGCGGAGTCGCTGTCGTGTGCATCAGAGCTGCTAGAACTTTCCGTGTACGGTGACTTGGAGCGCTTCTTCTTTTTCTTGCTGTTTTCTTGTCTATTGAAAAGACGAATTAGTTTAATAAACTATATCTGAACTTTATAATGAGTAGTGTTGATAATTTGCATCACAAACTTCGAAATGTGTCGCTTGTCTATTTGCACACAAGCTAAAATATGAAACGGAAAATCCTAACAGTTTTTTATATTCAGCATTATGTACCTATCTTGTGCGGAGTTGTAGCTTGTACATTTTTAATAATCTATTCTCAGGCGTAATTCAGAGGTTCAGTGAACATAAGACTCGTTTTTTCTTAAATACAGATAAAAATAAAAATCTTCCATTCACGCATTTCTGAATCTCAATGTATACAGGTGGTATCCTAAAATAAATATTACTATACACTACTTACTATGGAAATACACCTGTAACTTCGTAAGGTATATTTATACTAGTACATTTATAAAACAATGGACAAAAACAAGGCCAAGGTTGAAGTAAGACCTTTTTCCACTAATCCATTAGTAGTTGCGGCAATCGTACTAATGTAAATGGGACTAAATTACTGATAGAAATAGCTGTTCCGATAAATATAATAAGAATTGCCTTTTGTTTTAATTTTAACTTATAATGTAATGAAAAATATTCAACTAAAAATAGTTTTATAGATAGGACGGCATTAAAATTAAAATAAAACGAGAAGTTGCCATACCTACGTATGTATTTCCATAACAATTTTCTTTGACTGAAATAAGTAATTAAAAAATGAATTTTACGATTTCAATTTCAAACTATACAAGACCGAATGATTATACTTGCCTTTTTGTTAACTCAAGTGTCACCTGCCTGGATGTAAATGATATTTTTATAAAAAAAACTCAAATGACAAACATAAAAACAAACAATTAACACTCACTTGTCTTTCTTGTTTTTCTTTGATTTTTTCTTCTTTGACTTCTTAGACTCTGGTGATGCACTGAAAATATGTTTTTAAACATTGAAAACAATGACCTTACTGTACACTTTATTATGTCAGAGATCCTTAGACAAAGACTCTGCACTATCTATATAAATACTGATTCATCGAATATTTATCACTTTAACATGTCTATAAAAACCTAAATATGAAATTTACATCAACAAAACAACAATTTTCAAAAATTCATTAACTAAACTTTGATATGGAGCATTTAAGTTTATTAAAAATGCAAAAATTGTTTAGCTAACCATTAGTCAATGCGTTAATTAGTACCTAATAGAAATTTTAATTTTGCAAAATAATTTTCTACAAACAAAATTTTGCACCCAATGAAAATATCAGAGTCTATTAGAATTAAATAAATAGATAAGTACACTACAAACCTATTGAATAAGTATTAAATAACAGCAGATAAATTGAAACAATTTAATTTTTTCGCAATTATCGCCACATTTTACCTCCTTTTCTTTTTCTTCTTAGTGACATGTATATCGCGGTCCTCTCGCTCATGGCTGGGTGTCCTCACAAGCGGGTAGCGGCGAGCCTCCTCCCGCGCGCGCCGCTCCGGGTCCAGGCTGGTGCCCTCCACGAACCGCGGAGATATACCGAACGCATCACGAAGACGCGCGTTCTTCTCCTGTTGCGCCTCCGCGACCGCGTGCGTCTCACGTACGCTGTCAAATGACGTACAAATTCAAGATGGCGCCGAAGTGGATGTTTGTTAAGGATTGGATTCAGGTTTTTGATAATTTGTATTACTTTCTTCTTTCTATATCAATATCAGAAAGTACAATCTAGTTGGAATTTTATTTACTTTTAATTGAACGATACTGTGTGAATTATCAATTATTTCGGAGACCACAAAAATTAACAAGAAATACTTTAATAATCGTTTTAAAACGAATATTTACCTGATTTGCACCTAAGTGCGCTAAAAATATGAAACAAACGTTTAGAATACTATAGTCAGTAGGGCCAATTGAAATATCGATCGCTTTATGTTATGCCAATACCAAACAATCAATGTTAGCGGAAAACGAGCGTGAAATCATTTATATTAAAGAGAATTATCGTACGCTCAACGTTTCATATTAAATTAGCAAGTTTCCTGTAACAATAGCAAGCGACCTACATACGTCGGCTCCATGGCCGATCGATCGAACAAACCTATGCCCACCTTATGACGGACCGCATGGACTTCCTCTCCTCCTCGTTGGAGAGACAGACCTGCAAATTGTTGTTAACATTGTTGCTCATTGCGCAGTTACACCGGCAACAGCACGAGCTCCTGAGGCCGGCGAGGAGAGTACGCAGAGCGGGCTCCAGCGAGTCCGCGACGTGTGACGGCCCTTGCTGCGCCATGGCGGCGGGCATTTCTATGGC